CAGTGGGTCATGCTTTGGAAATGACAGTAAATTTTTATTACCCAACCCTTGAGTTGTTTTGTTTTTCATTTACCCAACCTTTTACTCACTCAAAATTTTGTTTACCCAACCCTTTTCTCTTCGGTGCCACCCCCCGCCATAAATAATGACCAGTCCCTAAATGGCTGGAGTTTTTAGTAGATTTTCTATTAAAATTATTTATATTGAAATTAACTATTTCGCATGTGACCTTAGTATATACGCACGCATGTGAGTGCATAATTTTTTCATGCATATCATGTAATATTTAAAATCCGACTGTGAGGACTGGACTAGATTACAAGTCCGCGCAATTTGATCAACCCGAGGCGAAGCCGAGCTGACTGAATAAAAATGCAAGGACTTATAAAATCTAGTCCAATCCTCATAGTCGGATTTGAAATGGCATCTCATGCGAATAAATCACTATTTAATTAATTTTGATCCAGTCCAAGGACTGAATAATTTGACTGAATTAATTTAACTTCATCAGGTATCCAGTATTATTTTTTTTCTTGCGGTCCGAAGTCATATTTTACGCTTTTCTGCAATCTGATTGGCTACGTGAGCGGTCCGTATGAGCCCGTACGGACCGCGCGAGATTTAAAGCCGGTAGAGACAATGTTTTTATTTTTCAAAATTTAAAAACGAGTTTAAAGGCTACTTTTTAAAACATTAAAATGCCTGCAGACGATGAAAAACACAGTGAAAACGAATTTTACTATCTCACAAAAGATATTTCTCTTCCCGATAGCATTGATATGAAACGACGTTTTATTTGGCAGCTTCATTCGCGTGCGGGAGGAGTGATTGGGGAAATCCAGAGGAGGAATTAAAAAAAAATAAAAATATTATTTACCGGTATGGTCGGTCCGTATAGAGAAATATTTCTCTCGGTCTTAAAAACGTCCCTCGGCCTTCGGCCTCGGGCCGTTTTTAAGACCTCGAGAAATATTTCTCTATACGGACCTCCAATCCGGTAAATAACATATATTTATCATGTGAGCAAAATAAAGCAATATGGTTGGCTAATTTACTTATGAATTATTAATGAGTTTGAGATTAATAAGTATGGTTTCTCGTTTAATTTGGAAAAACATGCCCTCGTGAGTTTTTCAAAGACTTCAAAGTTCAAACTGCACTCGTGCATGTTTTTTCCAAATTGCACTCGAAACCATACTATTACCTAGTACACATATATTTTTTATTGAAAATTTGCATTATCTGTATTGTAAAGCCTATTATAAAGATCATAGTTTTTGAAAATTCTCTACCTTTACAGCATGGCTGGAGATGGTTTATTGATCTGCTCCATCGACAATCTTCCTGCACAATTGCCTCGTGAGGCAACAGATTATTTTGGAAAATTGCTGTTGCCATGGATACCAGAAATGGTATGCGTTTATTCTTGGGTTTCACTACGGCATTATGCAGTGAATCTGACGGGGAGTCAACCTCAAATGTATTGATGCTTATGCTGTACTGGAGTGAGAAAATGATACGAAATTCCATGTATTTGTAACCAAACACAAGGCTAATACATAAAACGAACAATCGACTCACTCCGATAACTGTGTTTTGTTTTGTGAGTTGACCCCTTTCACTTTTGTGACGTTATATGAAACCCAAGAATACAGTAGCTGTTACTTTATAGTAAGATTCCTGGCAGAGGCTTAGTTACAATAGTTAGGTCTATGAAGGAATTGTGCAAAAGGTCGATAAGGTGGGCAAAAACATCGGGAGAAATAAATTGAAAAGCAAGAAATAGGTGTAAGATAATAGTCGAAATTTCGAACATTTTTGGCTTCGTCGACGAAAATTTTGCATGGGACTTTAGCAGCAAAATTTTGTTTTTGATTAGTCGGCCAAATTTAATTTCTTTCCCTATTTTACTAAATATTTGCTTATATTTTGCAGGTTGCGTCTCACACAAACACTTCTTTTGAGAATCAAACTCATTTTTCAGAGACTGTGAGAAATGTAAGTTATGTATAGGTAGTTCCGAACCCTAGTTTTGCATGATTGTTTTAACATATCGAGCCAGACTCTTATACATACATACGTGTATTTTTTCCCCGGTAGGCTGTTATCACATCGAATGGAAAATTGACTCCAAATTACGAGTATATTGACGAGTTAAGAAAAGGGTATGATGTTTAACTTTTTTTATAAGCAGTCTAGTTAACCAGGGTCGTACACAGGGGGGGGGGGCAGGTGAAAAAACGAAGAAAACTTAGACTTATTAATTATTCTTTTGGTATTTGGGACTTTTTTCGGCATATATGTAGGCCTTATTGCCCCCCTGGTGGAAAAAATCCTGCGTATTACCTATGCGAATATTTTAAGAACTAAGAAAGATTTGGAGAATCTCTGAAACCTTTTCCACATAATTATAAAGTTCTTTCAAAAAAGGGAAACTCATATTTTTTTACCAAATCACAATTAGCAAAATGCCAATACATTTTTCATTGGTCTGAAAATTTTCTGAGTTTCTGCCATGTTCTCACGAACAGCATAAAAATTGGAACAGTATATAAAATAATAACGAATTGCAAAATCTGTTGATAGAATAAAATATATTTTACTGCCGGTTGGTTGGTCAGAAAAACGGGATGCATAATGAACCAGGATATTTTTTACATGGCCGTAATAGAGATTCCACGCAATGTAAGCGTTAATTAAAACTACAGTCGAACCTCTATTAAGCGGCCCTCCATTAAGCGGCCACCCTCTATTAAACGGCAACATATCGAAGTCCCTAAATTTTTGTAATACAAATACTATAAACTATTCCTCTATTGAACGGCCACCTCTATTAAGCGGCCGCGGCCACCCAAAGAGCGGTCCCAAATGATGTTTTATGTCGATTTTTACCTCTATTAAGCGGCCAGCCTGCAGGATTTACTTGGCGCAACACCTTGTCAAGAGAGCCGAAAATAAAAGTCGAGCTAATTTGCTTTATTTGTAAAATAAGGCTTAAAAATTTTGTTTTAACGCATGCCATTTCACACCTCAAAAGCTTTACACCTCAAAAGCATTGACTACGCCCAGGGTCTATTATTTGCGTTATTGCGTACCTCTATTTAGCGGCCACCTCTATTAAGCGGCCACAAAGCCGATCCCCAAAGGATGGCCACTTAATAGAGGTTCGACTGTAGTTTGTTGTTTCGGAATAAGGAAATTCATATCTGTTTCTGCTTCAGCCAAGAACCTGTAAAACCGGTAGTCCCAACAGTAAAAGAACCTACAACAGCACCTATTGGTACTAAGGACATTGATATCAAACATAAAGTATTACTACTCGGTTCTGGCTTGGTTACCGGTCCAGTTGTGGAGTATCTTATGAGAGATCAGTCTATACGCCTTACAATAGGTAAGTACAGTAAGTTTTTTGCCTAGTAATGAAAGTGCAATACGCAATCACGTTTAATCCAACCTTGGAAATTCTAAGCATTTGAGTTAAATCAGGGACCGCGCAGAAGGGAAGAAGGGGGGTGAGGGGGCTTCAACCTTCCCCCCCCCCCCAAAAAATATTTTTGATGATACTGAACGCAAATGCCTTTTCGTGATTGGTTTGGTTTGGGAAGGTGGTACATTGCAGTTGCACGCTCAGGTGGCTATACTATCATTGCATGGAAGGAAGGTTGAAACTCGCATATTTCTCCTTTTTTATGTGGCACTGCGGTTAGCTTAACCACAATTATTAGTTTTGAAAAGTGAAACACATTAGTTTTCAAAAAGTGTTGTGGACTTCTACAGTGTCACAGTTTTTAAGAGTGCCTACATGATTTTCAAAGCATGTGATTGTTCTTTTGCAACACCATAATTATCGGCAAGAATCTTCACTTATTTAGTTAGACATGTGTTTCACAGAAATATATCTACAGTACCTCTCAGGTTTCGCCGTGAACTTACATATCTCAATATCAGTCCCCCCCCCAATCGTAAAATTGCTGCACGGTCCCTGAAAGAGAAACCTTGAACTTGTCTGCAACCTTCGTGGCACGAAGGTCAACGTGACACGCTGTCTAGTGTCATGTTACATTTTGGGGCATGTGTAAATATTATCGCAAAAGGAAGTCAGAAATTGGACTCAAGGTGCGATAGTTCAAAATTTTTATCCGGACCTGACTAGTACTCCTGTGATTATTACAGCGTACTTGAACTGGTCAAACGTAAGAATGAAGGTGTACTTAGTTTTTAAAATGGAGTACATAAAGTACAGGTTTCTGAAAGGTGTTCATTCAGTAACCTGAAGCTAAGAGTTATAGAGCAAGGAGCACAATTGCATATACAAACACTGCAATCGTCTCCAACCCCATCAGTCCAATCATGTTTCATGCCGAGGACATGCCATATTACGGTTTTGAATACCTTGGGCTTGGAAGAGTCGTATGGTACCGTCACCGCCGTACCGTAAAGGAAAAATACCAGACCCTAATATAGGCATACAGGGACGCCGGAACTGGGGGGGCAGGGGGGGCGGCTGCCCCCCTTGCCTTTTGCTAGGGGGGGGGCAGAAGTGCCCTTTTAGTTGTAAAATAATACGTGATAAATCACATTTCCAACGATGCTTTTTATAGGAAAATCACGAGATTCAGGTAATTTATAGTTTATATTTATAAAAATTTTTGGAAATTTTTGGAATTTAGAAAAATATTTTGAAGAAATGGCGAAAATTTAAGATATCCAGAAAAATTTTTGGCTTCACGGAAAATTTTTGGCTTCACGGCAAACTAACTTCGTTTGTGGGCTACTCAATTAAAAAATTAAAAGAATAAAAAACAGAATCTTGGCCTGGAGCACGAAGCTGAGCAGGCCAACTTCTTTCCCTGGTAATGAGGATGTCTAAAGATGATGTCAAAGTTTTGCATCTTGAAACTCGAGATATGAGTCAAAACAAGACGAGAATGGGGTCAGTACGATCTGATATCCTGCAAAAGGAAGCTATCCATATGATGAATTTCTTATTTTACCAGGCACACACAAGTCCTCATTTTAAGAAGGACAAATGATTAAAACTCGCCGATATTGTCAAGTTCTATATGCTGCACTGTTTATAATGAAGAGCTAAAAATATTAACCATAAGTCTGTTTAAAAAGAAATTAAAACAAAGTGTAATTGAGCTATATTAATTTGAATATTTCCTAACTTTGTCATCTTGTGACACGTTCATTTAACAATTGTTTTCATTCTACTAAAAATAGATAACCACCTGTCTCGATTAGCGGTTATGTACACAATACTTTTGTTTTATAATGCGTAACGTAGAAAAATGTATTGTTGTATACCGTCGGTAACCAGGAAGTCTAACTTGTTACCAAGGAAGTTAAAAATTGGCTATATATGCGCCTCCATCGTCTGTCCTGTGACTGCCTTGCGACGTCGTCATGAAGTGTGTTGAGTTAGCTGAGACCTCGCCTCCGACTGCTGTAAAAGATGCTTTTAGACGCTTTAAAGAAATACCTGCCCAGTCGGCCTTCGAGGAATTTGCCAAGAGATTAGAAAACCAACGCAGGGGGTATTCGTCCGAAACGCCGCGAAAAAATGTTGGCGATAGGGTCGCAACTCTTGGCTCGGACGGAATGGTATGTTGTGACGACGATAACGGCATTTTTTTCGGCCGTTTTAGCGGCTTATAATAACCATTGGAAGCTAAGAACCTCGCCAGACGATTGGTGGTTCTGTGTTGTAAAGAAAGTTTCTTTGGCGATTGATAAAAATGCTGAAAAGAAAGCAGTTCGTGATTTGTTTGTGGAACATGAAGGGAAGAAGAAACTATGTGTTGATGTACCCACAACGTGCATCTACGATGTCGATTACAGGTGGGTATTGTTGTACTTTTATGTGTCTGTCCGCAAGTGAGAATCCCAGATAAGCAAAATGCTTTTGACTCAAACTTGTAATTTTGTTGTAAATATTTTTTTCCTTTCTGTTATTACAGTCAAATCCGGTGTTCCGTTGCCAACAATATTGCAGAATTGTCACGCAATATTGCAATATCCAGTATTGATCAGCTGCTTCTCTAGCAAATTGCAAGTGACGCGACAAATAGCCTGCGAACAGGCTCTTTGAATTCAAAGAACCTGTTCGCGGGCTACGAACAAATTGTAATCCTTACGTGTTGACAATTTGTCGAGTCTAGGTCGCGCCCAAATGTCAGATGCCAAGCATTTGATTGGTTTGTTTTATACTAGTAGCCAATCAGGTTTCATTTACAAACTTGCTTCTTAATCATATTATGAACTTTTGAATTTTGCAGTTGACGGTTTAATGCCCCGTTTACACGAGCAAATTTTATTTGACAAATTTCATGTGTCAAAGATATTTTGCTCGTGTAGATGATAAATGTGTGACAAATTTATTGTGACAAATGCATTTGATCAAATGGTCAAATGCATTTGATCAAATGAAATTCATGTCAAATAAAATTTGCTCGTGTAAAGCCTGGTTCACATATGCCTGCGACAGTATCATTATGCCTCTACTTGCCGC